GGTAATTTTCACCAATGTGAAACTAAAAGTGACAACAATAAATGGCAGAGTCTAAACAGATTGGATTAACAGGCCAAGAGTGGTGATAAGTATGATAAAATTTAAGAGATTTTTTTTAAAGGTTCTGTGCTTAAGATGGAAAATCCACCGGAATTTTAAGAGAAAAAAAGTATGAAATAAGAAAAAAGTTGCAGTTGCTAGTTAAGAGTTACTGTCATCAAAACAATGGAACAATGTAATGCAGCAGGCAGCAAAGGTGATATGATCTCTAACACTGCCAAAAGAAGGGCAGTTTCCAGGATGTGAAGTCATATCCTTGTCAGCTGACCCTCTCAATTCAGTACTTAACTTTCTGAGTTATACTTCAGACTGATCATTCAAGGTGATTTTAGAAATCTCTTTTGATCTAAGTTTTACAGTTTAATGCTACGCAAAATCAAAATAACAGTAGGCGCAAATCACATTACCAAAGCCCTCACTTCTCTGAATCTTCTAGTACTAGCCTCATTTTTTTTCAAAAGATTATACTTTCTTGCCAAAAGCTATTTCTACCATAAAATTATTTTCAAAGTATTTTAAACAATGCTAATGTAATAAAATGTCTTATAACCTTTGGATTTCAGCTTAAGGTGGCTGGTAACTTTCTACAACTTGTACGCACAGTATACAATTCTAATTTCTTGTGGCAGAAGGTAAGAAAAACTAGATTACTGACACTATCTTCTCACAAAAGGTACAAAGTAAATGTCTTATTTAGGGATTCAAAATTCAAATAGAAAATCTTAAGGAATACTAAGAAAAATACAGTACATCATAGGCTTGGCTGAGTTCTTGTTGGGTCTCCTTAATGCTATGTATCTCTACGACTCAGATTTTGTGCAATTTCCTCCTGAGGAAGCTCAGCTGCATGTATTAGTAATCCTTTATTGGTCTGGGCAAAATATTATGCGATGTGATGAACATATGAAATATTAGGAGTACAGTAGGAACTACAACTGTTATGCCTTGCTGCATTTTTAATGGTTCCCTAAAATCACAGGGCACTAAACACAGCAATGTACTTAAAAGGAAATACTACAATTATCTCGCTTTACCACTTGGTTCCAAATCTGCCTCTGTCTTATACTTCATAAGCTCTAACAGTCATCACCTTTTGCAAACGCGTCTACTTGAAAACAACCACAATTCCTGAACTTAAAATTTCAAAAGTAACCATTTCAGTACTGAAATAGATTTTTTTTTCATCCTGCAAATCAGAAACCAAAGATTCCATACCAATGATTAAGTATGATATAAAGAAAGTTTCTCTGACATGATCATTAGTGAAGCTAATAACTAAAGGAAAACTGGATATCATTCATTGGCCTAATAAGTAAATTAAGGTTTGTTAACAATGATTTACAACGCCAATACTTATATAAGTGTGCTGGTCTTTTCAAATATATGTGTATAAGACCTAACAGTTTATTAACTGTACTCTATCTAAACAGCTTGTCACTAGGGTGCTTTTGTTAAAACCATATTGTATTTTAAATGGATAAACATTTTTACATGAACAAAATGCATTTTAAATGTTTGACTTCAGAAGTCAAGGGCTGGGAGATAAGTGAAGTGTCTGAAACTAGCTAAACCTCCAGTAACTCTTGTTTATTGCTAGAGCTGACTAGAGGAAAATGTGACACTTGGAGTTAAAATAGCATTTTTCCTTTTTAACAAGCCCCAGTTGTGTTTTTTAACTTCTTTCCAAATGATTCTCTTGGAATTTCACCAAGCTGTAAGTTTCTTATGCAATGGATTGGGAGGCATCTAATTTACAATTTCAGGAAGATATTTTTCAAAGTAGATAAGGAAAGGAAAGAATCCTTTGATCTGACTGATAAAGCAATAAAACTCTAGCCCATTTACATCTATCTCAGAATAAACTAAGTTTGACACTGCCGGTGGCTCTTTTCATATAGTTTTTATCAACTACTGCAACATTTCTATGAATGTTAATGAATTAATAATGTAAAAGTTTCAAAGAAAGGCAGACTTGGCCACTCAGTTGAAAACAGAACTTATTTCAATGGTGACACTGAAGAGCAATATCCACTAACACACTAGAGCCCTTGCACATCTATAACCCAAAGGAGAGCAAAGAAAGACAGCAAAGCTCATGCAAAGCAATGATCTCGTGTGGTAGACATCTAGGTGTAAAAGAGCTGGAATTGTACATTTTGAAATATTAGCAATAAAAGCTCTTTAGTTTATAGTCTTGTCTGGTCATTCATTAAACATGTTTTCTCTAAGATGGTTTTGATCTCCATATCTGTGTGGCCAAAGAAGTAGGCACTATTTTATGAGGAGGAATATGTGATCTAATTTGTCCAAATGTTTCTGCACAGTATATACCTGAATTCAAAAACACTAGGAAGGTCCCAGATTTTTAGTTACACTTAAACACTTAAATTTCAAAATGTTTACTCTCCTTTCTAAATTAATTATCCCTCCACAATTGGACTTCTACTTCTGAGATTCCAAGTAAAACCATTACTGTATAATCAATGGTTCTTCATTTGAGATCCTTCTCCTATAATGGGTCAAATTCAGGTTACTGCAAAGCTGTTGTCTTCCCGCTCATTCAACTTCCCTAACTCCATCCCACATTCTTTTTAATCAGTTATCGCTCCTAACCAACCTTGCTTATGCAATGGATTGGATGTCTTCAATCAACTCAGAAACATTTCTCTTTCATGGTCATTTTGACTTTGGGAAAAATCTAGAAGTCATGTGATGCTAAAGCCAGTGAATAGAGGGGATGTGGTTACATAATGTTTTTACAAGCCTCTCTTTCTGGCGGATGCCACTAAGCAGCAACATTCACTAAAGTTAAGATCATATTTTATATCTCTACAACTGCTTCAGAAAATGTCAAAACGATGCTATAAGTATATTCAAAGCAGAGGGGACTATTTTGAATGAAGTTAATGATAATGTAATTTCTACTATAATACATTTATTTTTTTCATACAATCATATGTTTTGATCATACCACATATAACCCATTACATTAAAAAGTGCTATCAGAAAAATTCTTAATACTAACTGAAAGACAGAAAGTCAATTTATTAGTCAATTAAATTGAAATATAATTTGTGGTTATACACTATTGAGTCAATTGTCACATACTAAAAAAGAGTAGTAGAACTTTCCTTTTATGACCTTTATAGCTCTAGATAAAAAGACATATATCAACATGGTGTACCTTCTGCCTATAACTAGCATAATCAACAAAAAGTAATTAACAGGAAAACAAAAATTACACAAATTTCATTTAAGGTGTGTATCACTATACATTCTCCTATATAACATGGTAATTTACCTATCATCAGATAGCAGCGGACTGATTCCATCAATAGCTACTATGTCAATTACTAATCATGATCGGACAGGCCAAAGAGCTAGCTTGGTGGTCTAAGTGACTCCCTGGCAAGTGCAAGGACACAAGTTCAATCCAGGTAACGCATGTGGTGGTGCCCTGGAATCTTGGGCACGCTGAGCTGGCCACCAAAACCAGGCATTGTGGCACATGCCTGAAATCCCAGGGCTGTGGAGGCTGGGACAGGGGGATCACTATGAGTCTGAACTGCAGGGTGAGACCCTATATGTATAAATAAATAAATACTTTTTTTAAAAAAAAATGTGTGATCCAAGTGAGAATGGTGAAAAATCAGCAGTTGAGAACTCTAAAGAGAAAGTTCTAGAGTTTAGAAAACTGGAATCCCTTTTTTTTTTTGTGTTTTTTTTGGTGGATCTGAGGATTGAACTCAGGCCCTTGTGCTTGTCAGGGAAGCGCTTATTCCACTGAGCCATCTCCCTGGCCCCAGGACTCCTTTTTAGAATAGAACTTGCAGTAAGGTTGACAATTAGCCAAAGAAGCAAACAGAACGTATTTCTTGTATCAAGTAAGGCCCTAATGTCCTTCATGCTAGAACTCAAATCCAGGTTGCCATGTTGCCCCCAAATTAGCTGCAACTATTAGTACATGGAGTCAACTCCCTGTAAAGAATGAGTCCAGATACTTCCTGTGATAAGACACCTCACCACTGTCCACTAACATGGTACTTTCCAAAGTCCTTCCACACTAGGGCCTTCACTTACTTCATTCAGTGAAGTGAGGCACCCACTTTTCATATTCAGACAGCAGGAAGGACGTGCTACAACCTCATAAAACTTAAATATATTGAATAAAATGTGCCTGAACCTCCAAGCCCAATCCTAAAAGATGTTAAGCAATTAAGAACCTCACATGGCTTAAGTGCCTCTGAGGGAGAAAAGAGACAAGTTACCTCGGTAAGTCAATTAAAGGAAAGTAAACTCTGTAGAGAGTTTATAAAGAGGTCATTTCTGAATCATCATGACAGAGGATTACAGAGGAAGTACACTCTATTTTTGTGTACATACAGAGTGAACTGATATATAATTCACCAAACAAAATGCCCCCTAGGATCCTGTGACAGTTCCAAGAGAATTATAATGAGAATAAAACATTCCTTTCCTATAATCAATTTTATACTGATTGTTTATTATAAGCCTTTCACCATAATAATGTAGGGCTACTTAATAAAACCAAATTTACACTCAGCTGAAAACCATCACACACTGACTTGTGAAAAAAAGAAGGCAATATTTATTGTTTGCCATTACTCAGTTCTGCTGTATATGCACTAAATCCTTCCTCTTAATTCCAACTCTATAAGGTAGGCACTGATGGATAAGGGCTCAGAGATCTCAGAAAACCTACTCAATCAAAATGGTGCATACATATTAGGAAGCAGAAAGAACTTGTTCAAATGGGAAGAAAAGGAAATCAGAGGAAGGACATGGAAAGAAGAGAAAGACTTAATGGTGAAAAAAAAAGAACTGAAGCGAAAATGAGGAAGGGACAAAGGGTTGCAGACGGGATAGGGGGACAAAAAAAAAAAGAATTAACATTTGTTCTACACATGTACAAATGCCTCCTAATGAACGTAGTCATCATGTACTACCTACACAAACCACAAGAAAAAAAAAAGATTATCAGGCTGTTGAGTATTAAATAAATAAATAAATAAATAAATAAAACCCTCACACACTCGAGGTCACAAGTGGGTCTTAAATACCATTTTGCCTCTAACTTCTTTATTATAAATTACTCATAGTGAAACTTCAAACACATTTTAAAGAGACAATAGAGGCTAAATTATTTAAACTGAAGAAAATTGCATTTACTACATGTATGCTTTTAAAAAAGAAGAAAATCCTATACACATTCCAACAAGTTTTAGTATGCTTGCCAAAAAAGAAAAAAATAAATAAAATAAAAGCAAATTGATTCCAACTACTCTATAATTTCATTTATATTTAGAATACGAACAGAGCTAGGCATGTGTATGTAATGAATATATATGTACATATATATGTATATGTATCTGTGTATATAACACCCACATTATTCAAAGCTCCCAAAAATGTAGAGTTTGTTCCAATTCTTCTCTATTTTGTCTACTTTAAGAATTTTTTGCAATATGCTTATATAAATACTGATTTAGCTGCTGTTCTCATTTCTCAAATCTGCTTTTAAATGGATTGGAAGAGTGACAGACCTAAGCAGACATTCTTGGAACACAAAATCAAGGAGACATAAACAAATACAACTAGATAAAAAAAGAAAAAAAAAAAAAAAAACCCCGAATGGTTTCTTAAAGCTCTTTGAACTTAACGTTACTGATATATTAAAAGAGATGAATAAAAGTACAATTCACTGATTTTGGCTAAGGGTAGAGAACTGTGGGCACTGAAGTGCATGCTTCTTACACACAGACACACAGGAACTTGTACGCCCATATACTCTAGTGAGTGTCTTCTAACAAGGCACACACAGACAGCATTCCCCCTTAGCTTACTAAACGCACCATACAAGTATGGATTCTGAACAACAGAAGATTCTGACGTGAAGGGTGATGTTGGCGCCCTGGAGCATGTTTCAGTAAACAGTTTCAGGTTGCTAAATCCAACATGTGAGTACCTTCAAAATTTTTTATACCAGGATTTATTTCATGATTCAATTACATTAATAGATCATTGATTCTATTGGTAATTTGCTTCCATCTACATTTCAGAAAAATGAAGGAAACGATTAAGGACCAACTCAAAGTAATACTATCCCACTTACCTTATGCTGTGTCTTCTTTACAAACATAAGTAAACAGCTATTATGGTATCAAAGGTCACAAAACACAGCGCAATGAATATACTGGCAAAGGCAACTACCAGATGTTATGAACATATCATTTCTACTTAAGTATGTGAAATGCTCTAATGTCATATTTAGTACCTGAAATTAAATATTATATGCAATACTGTTGGAATGAGAGTTGAAACAGAGACTAATTTGATGAGGACCTGACAACAAAATCAATGTATTTTGCATTTTTTAAAATGTATTTAGTACAGGGTCTGCAGAGTCTAACTACACAGATTGAACTCATGATGATCCTCCATTTTTCAGGGAGGGATTACAGGTGTGAGCCACTGCACCCAGTCTCAATTGCCTTCACAGCGTGCCCCAGGGGTGGAGCTGGCACTGCAGACCAGGGATTGAACCCTGGACCCTGCGTCTGCCTAAGCAAGTGCTTTAATCTGCTAAACTATCTGGCCCACTCTGCATTTTGCACTTTGATAACATAACAATCACATTATTGGAAACACATTATAAGGGGGCATTTTTTCATACTTGAGAGTTAAACATATATTGGCATATATCTTTTCCATGTAAGCTAACATGATAGGTTTTTATATAAGTAAAAGAAGTCTATCAGCCATTTTACCAAGTAAGGACAAACTTTTATGCTTATTCAATGTTGTCTGTTAAATATTTTATATTTCTAAAATACCCATAAAATGTTTTAATTATTACAGAAAAAATAAACATTATCAGAGAGAAAAGTGACAAAAAGAAAACTGAAAATCACATTGTTATGATAAATGAGAAACTTTCTTTTAAAATAATCATATGGACAATACAAAATACTGTATGTTCATTCTAGAAGTGAACAAGGCTAAGGTGGTGGCTTTGGCCTTGTTTCTGTGGAAAAAAGAGGAAGAATTTAGCTTTTGGATGGAGAATAGACATGGAGACTCCAGATTTTTCTTTCAGCATCTCCACCCACATCCAGGGCGGTGTGAAGAGATGACAGATGGGACTAAGTCTGCTCTTTCAACTGCTGAAGCAAGATCCTGAATGTATCCTGTTTGTTTCTGTAAGCATGAATATTCAGCCACAATAAGTAGGAGCAATGCTAACTGTGCTAACCGCGTTTATTAAGCAGGTCTCAAATCTTTAACCTTTTTGTACTCATATTATAGATTAAGATAAGAATGTATTAAAGTGTCTGCTTAGGCAGCCACAGGGGCCAGGGATTCAATCCCAGGTCTGCCATGCTGGTCCCACCCCCGGAGCGTCCTGAGACCATGATTCAGACTAGACATGGTGGTGCATGCATGTAATCCCAGTACTTGGGAGGCTGTAAACATGAGGATCACTATGAGTCCGATCTATGCAGTGAGACCCTGTAACCCTGTAGGCCCTGTACTAAAATACCAAAAAAAAAAAAAAGATAAGAATGTAGATAAGATGTAAAAAGTATACTTTCTGCCAAGCTCAGGAAAGCTTCATTTATTCAATGAAAGGATCTAGTTTTCATACATTTAATATAAATATATTGAGAGAATTGTATGAGTGAAAAACGAGCAGAGTAATGAGCGTGTTAAAAGCAAGAAAAAGTTAAAAGCAGTTACAAAGAAACAGCTCTTATTTTCCATTTTGTTTTCATGATTTTCTTAGGTAATACTAAACATGCATTACAGTCATTATAGTATATCATCCCTCATTTAGAACACAAATCAGGTTGCCCTAAGTCCAGCCATAAACTTCTATATGCAGAAGTTATGTGTGTAAAGAAAGCTTATTTGCAATTACTTCCCAATTTAAATTTTAAAAATGATCATTAAATCAAAAAGGATCATTTTCTACAAAAAATAAGTGACAATTTCTCTGTGAATGAAAATATTTTGATAAATCTTGAAATATGTCAAATCCTTCATCCCTACCCAAAAGGACAGAGAGTAAGTTTCAAAAAATTATATGTATATTTGCTAAAATGAGTTTAATTATTGCTACAAACAAAATCTATAGTATATTTACGTAGACTGTGATCGATAACATCCACTGAAACCCCATCTCTTATAAAAATAAAAAGACAATTCATTGTATATACAGGATGCTCTTTAAGAAATCTTGAAAGTGAGTAAGTGCCTAGAAGCATAATCTGAATTCCATCCTCCCCAAGATCTTCTTACCAAGGAAACAGTTTTGGAGTAAAGGCATGAGTGATCTATCTCTCCTACGTCCTTTTGCACTGCTAGGCTCTGGGAAAATGTTTTAGGTGCTAAGGACTTAGCACGTATCTCAAAACCGATGATCCCTAGGGCCCAGCAGATTATGCCCTTTAAAAATAAAACAGTGTTCAATAACAGAAGGAAATCAGAAATCAGTCTCCTCTTTAGGACTAAGGGGGTTTCTTAAGACTTTTTTTCTAGCGTTCTAATGAGCATTCATTATAGAAGTGAACCAATGCCAAAGCAAAGCACATATGTGGAAGTTGAGATAGACTTACGAAGTAGCCTGTTCCCAAGCTGGAAGGAGCTGAACTCTGCAATAAAGCATAAAGACAAAGTGGAAAATCAGCAATGGTTTTTAACACGTTCCAATCCACACAGCTCATTACCAGCCCTTTGCAGGCTTTTCATCACTACATCACATCACCAGCGTGTGCTGCCCCTTGTCATCTGCTACTGATACATACACTGTGTTGCTTAATTTTCCCCTTTACATCTCTCAACAACTCAGAGATGCTAACGTGCTATTTACTGAATTCCAAGCTTCTGCAGTGGATGTAATTGCCAATTTATTTGACAGGCAGCTGGGTAATGAATTAATGATGGCATTTCGCCCTGCACTGAGACTAAACAGACACGCATCAGCCTGCCTCCCTGACTTGCTGACATTCAATGCCCTGGTCTCAAGCTACTCAGTTTTGTGGCCGCAAAGGGGCAGACAAGAGGAAAAAGCCCAGACTGACTTGAAAATAAAAAGCCCAATGGGTTTGGATGACTTTTCCAGTGTATGACCTACTTGCCAGTTTATTCCCTAAAGGCACCAGTTAGTACACACACAGTATTTTCAAAAATGAGACATTTGTAAACATAATTAGTATACCAAAATGCAAAGAATGTGTAGGCAAAGAGTAGCTGTGAAAAGCACCATTTTCTGAAGGTTTTAGTTATAAGAAATATCAGTTTAGGCAGCCATAACTCTGATACACAGGGAAGCAAAACAACAATAATTCTCAAATGAATGTAGGATTATCACTTAGAGGAAAAGAAGCAAAAAGAGAACACTGTTTGTATTTTAAACTTGTCTAAGATTCTTTGTTTGTATTCATTTTCTAACTCCTAAAAACTCTCTTAACAAAACTTTTCACTTTTAGCATTCTCTCTGTCAGTAAGAGAAGTCCCAGACATATTTGAAATAAAAACAATGCCAGTAGTGAGTTAATTTTCAGGTCTCAGTAAGCATGCTTATAGCAGGAAGGTATTTTACCCAATGAACATAGTTCAGGCACTATATCTTCTCCAGTGTGGCCTGACTTCCTCCTTGATGCAACTATTAGATTCACTTTTAGCTCCTGCACCACCGAATTTTGACCCCTTTTCTATAAACCACAGCAGAAAGAACTACTAGGCACATTCATCATTGCTTCCTCAGAGATTAGCAAAATGCCTTGCATGGAAGATGCATTTAATAAACATTTGCTGAATTAATGTATAAAAAATGAATGAATGGACTATATTGGCAAAAAAAAAACAAAAAACAAAAAAAACCCAAACAAACAAACAGAAAAAGGCTTAGGAGATTTGTCATCTCCATAAATACAGCAGATGTGATTCTTTGTAATCCACAACTCCCTGAGAAGGAAATACGGGGTTATATAGCAAAGTCCATATTAAACAAGGGAAACATGCTTCAGAGCATTCCTAAATACAGGTGCAAAAACTTGAGGAATAAAGCACCAGACATGTGATCTTACGCATTATGGTTGGTCTTTAAAATCTTGCTTCGTTCTAGAGCCCATCAGTCAGAGACTGGCTCTCAGTCCAGCGATAAGCCTTGTGAACGCAATCACTTTCAGCACCACAGCCCTTCAAGCAGCAGGTGAAGGTAAAAGCCATTAGAGCTTTATCTACCTGAAGTCATGTGCTTGGGAAGTCAACCCATTTTAGGGTGAGTTACTTAGACTCCCCCACTTCCTACAAGTACATTTGTGTCAAAAGGAGAAGCATCACCCTAGAACCGCCTCCCAACCCACACACATCATCTTACTGTACACCAAGGAAAATTACATCCTTCAGGTCTAAGAAAACTCTGTTATCCTCATTTTGCATATATATTGTGCATTACCCAGAGCTGGGTGGAGAAGGCTTTGTTGTGCATATTTGTTCTGGCTATTGTTTATGCAGGTCCGACTGAATGAGAGAACAGTGGGTATCATTTCAATTTCTGATGTCAACATCAAATTACTTATTTAATTTCATGCCTGGCGAAGCATTGTATAGCTACACGCAGAATCATTTCACTTCATTTGTTATGCTGTGCTTTCGTGGCGATTGGCTTGCCTTCCAACTGACAGCTTTAATTACGACATGAATTTGATTGCACTGCTGAGGAATTAACATAATGCAACAAAGCATTTAAGCACCCTGTCTCATAACCCTCCTCCCCACACGCATGGCGCACGCAAACACTGGCAGACACATGAGGGAACAGACCCTAGATTCTCATGCATATTACAGATCTACTGGAATTTATTTCAGTATTTTCTAGAAGGGATACAGAATCTTAGAATAAGAGTTTGTTCATATTTGCCAACCTACTGTGAACACCGTTTGAAAACAAAACCAAAAAATGTGGGAGATTTGTGGCATTGAGTTATGATTTCTACACTTGGCAGAAAACTTTAAAGAAGAACCCTCTTCTAAGCAAATTGACATTTTTTTCCCCATTCTTCCTCTGCCACATTTTTCTTGGCTGTCTGCCAGCTTTCTTCAATAATAAGTGGAAAATTTAAATGGACGTAGCATCTATGAAATAAGTAGTCTTCTTTTAGCCTAGTATTTCAACCACAAAATTCTGACTAAGATACAGATACAGCGTATGCAGTGAGACACTGCCTTTGGCCACCGGTAGGATCCCTACCACCAAAGGGCAGCAACAGAGATAAGTCAGGGTTTACCTGGTCGTCATAATCAGCATTATGTTTGTCTCGTGGCTTTGTTAACCAAAAGATGCACAAAATAGTCTTAATCATGTATGCCCAAGCTAAGGCTCTGTCTAAATACACAGCTGTAAATATTGGAAACTTTCATAATTTTCCAAGCTAGAAATTATATGAGGGCCTTCAAGGCACAGGTAACAATGGGTTATGCTACAAAAGTATTTTATGTACACTTTTTACATAAATGTTTACAAACACATCTTATACTTCAAAATATGTTGTTATTCATTTGCAGGCATTTATTTAGTGATTGGGACAACTTGCGTGTGATACAAGAGAAGAAATACAATGAGAAGTAGAGCCTAGAAAAACCTGAAAGGTGGTGGTGCCCTATCAATTTATAGAATCACTCCTCAGTACTCAATTTCATTTTAATTTGACCAGTCCATTTCTACTGAGAGGACTTTCATTTTTGCTACCTACTTACCTCAGGCAAACTGTTCAACTTAGACAGTAAAACTGGCTACAGAATGAAGAAAGGCTGAGTAAAAGTAAGACTTCAAAAATTAAGAGGATATTTTTGTTTTAAAGGAGGAACCAGGGGCCTTGGGAGATAGCTCAGCAGCTTAAGCACCTGCCTGGCAAGCATAAGATCCTGAGTGCGATTCCTAGTACTGCAAAACAAAATATGAAATAAATGAACAAAACATTTAAAAAATAAAGAAAGAACCAGGCTAGGCCTAATGGCACACACATCTATAATCGTAGCAATCTGGGAAGCTGACTCAGGAAAACTACATGTTTTAGCCCAGTCTGGGCAAATTAACAAGTTAAAATTAATTTCAGAATCACTATATATCACATTCATGTTTATTCAAGTATGTTATTTAATGAAATGGGCTTCATTGTAATTTGAGATACAGTTGCCAGATTATTCTTATTTTCAGTGGAGTAGACAAAAACGAGGGCCCGTAAGAAGTTTAGAAATAGGGTAGATGAACATGTTTAGCGATTGGCCTGAGAAGGCAAGGCTATGAGGAGATAAGAGTCAGTGGGGTGGCTACCGAACATGTGATTTCTGGGCTCATTATAAACCATCGCCTGTTTCATGTCGTCTTTTCATTCTGCCAGGGCTGTCATCTGTCTATCTGAAGACGTGACCACTGTTCCAGCAGTCTCTGCAAAGCAGCCTCCTGGACCTCATTATAATGCAAAGGAGAGCAGTCTAGGCACAAGCTCGGCCTCGGTGTCCAAGCTACCATGGACAGGGGACAGTAATAGGGCGCTTGGCTGCAGCACCTTTTATAGGACGGAGAATGCTGCTGACATTCAAATTGGCAAGCGGACATTCATTAAAAACTCATTCTCTTTTTCACTGGCCCCCGTCTGCTTTTCTTTGCATCTCTGTCACTAAGCCATCATTGAAGCTACTCATTAAACTCATGAAGTTCACATTTCTCTTTCAACTGCTTACTACAAGGCATTTCAGAATTGATTATCTATCTAAAATGTATGTGCTCCATTCATTATAGATGCACATAGAGAGACCATGGCTACTATTACACCTGGCAGGGTACAGGAAGGATATATACTCCACGTGCAAGTGAAAATATATGTTCTGACCTAGAGTTAATTTAAATTGAGTATTTGGAAATTATTGCAAAGCCCAAATCGTGTCTGATATCCCTGCCTACCCACCTCCTTGTTATTCTTCTCTATTGGGAATAAAAAAGAGAACCATACTAGAAATTACATGACCAAGGAAGTTTCTTACAAGGGTCATGGTACAAGTTCATTCATAGATTTTGCTATAGTTTTACAAAAACAACGATAATGAAAAGAACCAAAAATCTTAAAATAAATGTACTGTGGAGATAAAATTATTCAAGCTAACAAAGGGACAAAAAACATATTTACCAAAGAAAATCAACTAAAACTAGAGCAACAACCTGTAAAGCAAAATTAGGTGTGGAAATGCTAGGTCACTTCCAATGTCAACTATTCAACCTCCTTGTCATACTCAATTCAGACTGTCAGCAGCACTGACATGTACTCAAAAGTCTTCTTACTTTCTGCCCTGATTTCACTGTTGCTCCCACCTTCCATTTGTAATTCTGTATATAAAAGAAAAACTAAACATTTAAAAAATTTAACTCCAATCCTTTTAATATTTCCCACTGGATTTTTTAATACACTATAGTAGCCACCTAATATTCCTATTCTCTTAGAACCTTAAAATATGACTACAATGGCTAATTTTATGTTTGAACCTAACTGAACCATAGGGTGCCCATAGGATGCCCAGGTATTTAATTAAACATCAATCTAGGTGCTTCTGTGAGGATATTTTTAGATGAGTTAAACACTGAAATCAATTA